AGGTTTGTTTCATATCTATAGAGATTGCATGATTCTGAGAAAGAATTATTTTTTAAATGGTGATTTTTTCGGTATTCTTTATTCTTTGTTTTTAAACGTTACATTTTTAAGAAGCTGTTTTAACTTTGTTTAGTTTGGCAAGCTCAGAAATTTGAGTTGAAATAGGGTACTGCTTTTTAAAAAACTGCTTCTTATAGTTCTTTAGCAAAATAAGCCCACTTAGTGGTCGTCTATACATTCATTGCAACAGCCATAAAACCAAGATTAATGGTGAAAGGTCATGTCTGACTTTCAAAAGAACTTCTTAATAATGATCTGGCACAAACATGACAACTGGACTCTGTGTGGTACTCCAAGCGACCCTTGTGTGACACCAGTTTCAAATTATTTTTTTTTAAAGTCACTTGGCATGAGCCTCCTTACCTCTCCTGATTTGGATAAGTGGGAACTCTACCACCGGAAAACAATGGAGGATAGCAAGATTATGCTAAAATAGCAATGATTTGTGGGAACACTACCACAAGAAAACAATAGAAAATAGTAAGATTTCGTTACAAAAGCAATGATGTACAGGTCATAACATAAACACTGTTGATGAGTTTCCTGTCATACTTACAAAGGCATGACTTCTGGGATGACATTGATTTTTGTTCAAAATGTGATTACTCTTTAACAATGGCTTGACTTTGAAAACAAGAGTGATGTAACTATCAGTAACAATTACAATAGTTTGTTAAGTGGATTTTTTTATGCCTGGTCAATAAATCGTAATATTGACGCTAGTATTCAAATCTGATACATGTAACGGTTTGAGTGATTCAAGTGATGTCTTCTGTGTCAAAATTAGACCTCACTTGTGGCTCTAACATGAGATTAGTTCTGGAATCGACAAGATGGTAGCACCATTTCAAATCTGTCAACTCATGACTTCCCTCTGGAAATCTTTGTCATCCTTTGCTTCTCTAAATACCTCAATAAAGCCTTGCAGGTAGATTTTTGCACCTCACAGCAACATCTTTACAGGAGTAGGTTCGGAACATTGAGTTTCAGAACCAGATTGTTGGAAGTTTTAATTTTAACATCAGTGACATAAGACATGAATTGTCTATTTTTATTTATCTGCCATACTTTACAGTTTGTTGTAACTCCGTCTTGTTGTATGGAGCATTATTCTTTGTGTTTATAAATGCCAGTGTGTATTTGCAATGAGCAGTTGGATGTATTTTCTTGAGACTAGTAGACTAGTATATTATCTCAACTGGTCTAATGAATGTGATGGCCTTCATGGATACAAGCAAAACAGGCTGTTTCTGTGTCCTCACTCCAGATGTTCTGCTGGAAAGGAGTAGGTCCATGTCAATATTGTTTTTACAAGTTGAGTTCATACTGAGATGTCATTGTCAGATGTTCAATGCTTTTTTGTGTACTATGATTTATTCCTCAAATAATAGAAGATCTAGAAGTAACAACGATGGCCATTTCCAATTTCTGCATTTACTCTGTACTCTTTATGGTGTCATCATCTGTGTAGCATTCCTGTTATGAGTGTTTGTTGAATGTGCATCTAATTACTTACATGTTGTTCAGCAGCAGCAAATATTATTGCAATTAACCCTCAAGAGTTTAGTTCTTGATATTACCCTTACACAGAGTGTGACTGAGTGAGATTATGCAAGCCTGCACAAAGTATTCAGGAGAAAAGATTTCGTTTCTGAATATTATATGAGCCCTCACTCGTAACTGAAACAGCATTGACCCTGGTTAAGAGCCTTCTATCATGTTTAAAAGCAGCCAAGAACAGTATAGACAGTGGTTCAAGACCCATTGCTACAGTGATTTGCATAAACCTCCAAAAGAAAGTGTACAGTTATCCTTTTTTAACTTCCTAGATTTTAACAGTTCATGATGTGCTGAAAGGAGACCTGTGCTCTGAAGAAAATTGTTTTAAAATTTGCCACTAACTCGTAATGGTAGAAGGGTGCTTTGAAAAGTGCAGTAGGAGAAATTACAGGAAGAAAAAAAGAAATTAGAGGAAGAAATAGAATGAATTCTATCAGTGGGACACTTCCACCCTTTGCACAGGACGTTGAGCGTGTAGTAAGAGTGGGCAATGAGAAAATTCATTGTGCTTTAGAGGTTGGAGAGGGTTCCATAAGCTTTACTGAGCTTTACATAAAAAGAAAGAGAAATATTTTAAATGCTATATTGAGGCCTGAAATAAATATTAAAATAAAGGGATAGCTGTAATGATGGGAAAGTGTCTGTTACAGTGGTCTATGTGGCTCCACTAGACCTACAAATCATTGGCTAGAAGTTGAACAGACGACAGGGTTTATAATGACTTGCTGGGTCCCATACTATTTTGAGTATGAAGGAATATACTGAGTAAGGTCTGTTTGGTTATTGCAGAAACTTATGAAAAATGTTGGTGAAAAGGACAAATTAGCAATGGGTTATGATAAATTAATGTTTCAATCATATGTGTCATGACACGGTGGAATCAGGAGCTCATCAATTTTGGCGCATATGGAAATTGGTATCATCTTAAAGCCTGTCCATTTACCTTGCTTTTTATGAAAAAAACCATCCATTTCTCATGAATACAAGTCAAGCCATTGAAGATTGAAGGAGGTGGGGGCCGCCTGGTTTCTGAGGTAAAATTAACACAAAAATGGCTGCCAAAGTTGAGTTATTTCCTTAGCTGGAGAGTCCGTGGAAACTGAAAACTTACATCCTTTACGCCTTTATTCAACGTTTTTCAGTAAAGTGCACTCAGAAATGTGTTTCTTATTGGGCACGAAAGATGTTGAGTCAAAAAACAGAAATTCGATAAAAATTCCCAATCCTGTGGAAAAATGCCAGTTTCTTGACTTACGTTATTTTGACAAGCGCCTGATTTCACCACTTTGCCTCACATATGGTGATTTTCCGAGTTCTTGCATGCATGGGTTGTATTAAGCTTTTACATGCTTCTCAGGAATGCTTGATTATTTTATCTGTATGCCAGGCTGTGTGTTGGACAAGCTTTGCTGTGCTATCAGAGTAGATCTATCCATTTATAAAGTAAGCTCATTGTGTACCTCTTTGAGAACAGAAAATTTGGTGATTGACAACTTTTTTTTTGTTCTATGGTTCCAAAATCATTTCTATACAGATGTGTTACATTCCTTGCAAAAAGAATACCTGTGATTAAATTTTGATTATATCTAAGAGGTGCAGATTAATTGCACTATTTAATCTAGTACATCCATTGGATAGGGCTCTCAGTTTTTGTCTTACGAAAAGAGTTGTTACCTTTATTCTTACTCACAGTTTGCACACTTTACCTCATGTTCTTTCACTGGCATCGAAAAAATATTTTGAAGTGAAAAGGATTCAATTTTGAAAGAGTGTTTTTACTATGATGGTGAGTTTGTAAAAGTTTTAAGTATTAAAGTAATCAATTCTGTGTGTAGTAACCTACTGAAGTGCATTAAGTATCAATGCTGGAGAAGATGATTGGATGCTGTGTTGGTATAAATTGATACTGAAATGGAAATTTAGGGGGCATTGGTAAGTAAGTGAGGGAAATGCAAATTGCACAGAAAGTTGTTTAAAAGAAACCAAATGTCTATCTAACAATTTTTAAGCATTCAGATGTTGGCTTCAAAGTGCAAGATTTTTCTTTTGTAAACAATTATAGTGGTCCAAGACTTGAATATATTTCAACATAAAAGTATAGGTCATTATTTCATATTCACAGATGTATGTGATAATAAAAATGATTTACTGCTCTTTTCATGAATGCTTTTTTTACAGTATTGAGCGATAGAATATCTCTGTTGGTTGTCGTGTTGTGTGAACGACAGAAGCAATAAGGTGATTGTGATGGGCTCGATAGGAGTGAGAATCGGTGAACTCTGTTGTCCCTTGTCCTGGCTGTCTCTGTGATCTCTGATGGTTGTGAAATCTTTTCCTCTTTGGCTGGTAGCCATAATGTTAATGGCTTTCTGTATTTTCCTCCTTAGAACTTTTTGCTTACTTGTCTTCAAGTGCTCTAGAAATATATGCGTAGTGTGTTTGAATACATGGAGGCAAATGTTTTGTACATATGCTCTTTTGTGGTGTACATGATATATATATATATATATATATTTGAATATTCCGTGTTCATTTTTTTTCTCAACAACATACAATGTTAGTTTTGCACATCATATGATGAGCTCGATGGCATTGTTGTTCTGAAGCCTGACAGTGGTAACTTATATTGTCTGAGATGTCACAAAATCAGGAGAATAAATCTATTATTGTACCTGTAGTTAGTGTGCTTTCAGTCATGTGCTGTGTGAATTGAATGACGTTACAAGGGAGATATTAAATCACTGTTGTTCAAACTGTATTGAAAACGTGGTGAGAATAACTTATGGAAATGGCAGTTTCATCAGGTGAGAAATGTTTGATTGATGATGGTTCTGTACACAGCAATGGCAGCATTTGACAAGTCATTCTCTCCCCCTCTCCGAGTGTCCTGACCATTAAAGTGTGCTTTTGTGTCCGCCTGTACAGGATATGTTGTTTCTTTCTTTCTACTTTTCAAAATGAAACAAATACAAGGGCAGTTTTATTATTATTTCTTAACTGTTGAAGATGAAGTCTTCAGCCCCCTCTTTTTGCAGATCTGCAAAATTGTTACTCAGCAATGGCA